GGGCCGGGGCCGGGGCCGGGGGGCGGCGGGCCGGCAGGGCACGGGCCGCTCCATCACTTCCACAGCCCGCACTTTCGCCGCGACCAGCCGCAGCTGCCTGGGGAGGGAGCTCCGGGCCGCCGGCGGGAGTGCGGGCGGGGACCAGAAGGAGCGGGCGAGGGGGCGGCGCGGCGGGGCCGGGGCCGGGGCCGGCACGGGCTCTGGTCCGAGCGCGGAGGCAGAAGGCGCTCGGCAGCGCGGGGGCGCGGGAGGGCTGCTAGCTGCTTCCCCGCCAGTGGGTGGTCCTGCATCTCCCCGGGCTCCCCGCGCTGCTCTGCTAGTGCAATCAATAAATAAGGAGAAAATAAATAAATAACCGCGCGCACGCCCCGCCACGCAGGTTAGGAAAGGCGTCTCCTGCCTTTCCCTCGGCTTGACCTTTCTCCGCCCCCGCCCCCTCGGACTCCTCTCGCTCCACCCCAGCCACCCACCAGCCCCGGCGCAAAATGTCACCGAGGCAGAGCATCCAGGTGGATCTGCCGGGGAGGAAAGCGAGCCTCGGATGAACAAAGGGAAGCTTCACGCGCTGGGCTGCGGTGGTTTGGTGGAGGAGAGGAGAAAGGGGACCCGTGCCTTGCTTCTGCCTCCCGAGTCCCGGTTCAAGGCGAGCGTGGGAAAATGGGGGGAAAGAGAGCGAGAGAAGCTGGGAAGGAGAGTGAGCGGAGCGGAATGCGCAGGAATTGGTTGTCTTCTGGGGGCGACTGGAAGGCAAGACCTGCAAAGCCCCGACGCGGAATTTTTAAGTGCATTTCCTCTTTCTCTTTTTATTTATTTTCCAAACCAGATTGTTAAACGTTGCAGGGATTAATATGCCATCTGTCCAACTTGCCAAAAAATCAGAGAGTCTCCTCGGTGGAGGTCTTGACACAACTCCTTTTCCCGTCCTTTAGAATAACAGAGGGATGTGGAGCCCTTTTCTAAATGTCATCGTCAAGGGGCGTGCGTCTCTGAAAGTTTACGTCCCCTTCATCCTCTCTGCGCATCACTGCGCATATTTAAAATAGTTAAAGTAGTTAAAGATGTTCGCATGAGGGGTAACTGAAGTGGAGAGACACAGGAAAATTGTCGCGACCAACCGTTTTGTTTTTCGCGTACCCCGCCCCCGAGTCATTAGGAATCATCCTTAAAACTAAACATAACATATACAGCCACTAGATGGCGTGGATGGCGAGAAGTTAAATCTGCTCCTAAGGGTTGGATGCTTTAGGAAGGTGAAGTATCAAAATTAACTGATCCAACAGAGACTCACATCACGTAAACAGCCTCAAACCCCTTCGCTGCCACCCACCTTTTTATTGTTTATATGAGATTTAATACTTAGGCTTGAGTCTGCATTTGGATAGTTGTGGGATGAGAAGTGGAGAGTTTCCTTTTGAAATTCCTTTGAAAATTAAATCTAGATTACTGAATCATCATCATCATAGTAATTAAGATCTTTGGCAATAGTGAGGCTTCATCTATATTGATTAAGAATAATAGCCTAATTTCTACCTAAAAATTGTTTTTCATGGCTTGGTTTGACTGCCCTTGGTTTGTAAAATAAGTGGACTGTGTGTTGTACTGTACAGAAATTGACTTTTAAGCCCTAGAGATCATAGGCATGAGTGTCAACCTTGAAAATTTGAAATGGGATATGTCAAAGAAAATACATAAACTAAAAAATGAGTATAGAAAATAACTAGAGAATTTAAAATATCCTTATCATGTACAGGATTTTCTGTAGCGATACAAAGGTAATGTTTTATTTGTTTACAGAATAGAGATTTAAGGAATACTGTGTTTAGTAATGAAGTCAGAGCTAATGCACCGTGTAAGTTTGAGGACATGGAACTGAAGACACCTGCTCTTTATCTATTTGTTTAAGTGAAAGATGCTTGTTAACCAATCTATGTAGCCTGCATACCTGAAAACAAACACACAAGCATGTTACCTGGAAAATGGAAATGAGGGGCTTACTACCAATTAATATAAGAAAACCAACTCCTCCTTAGTCCAGACAGTAAGGTGGCACTATGACAGGTGCTGGGTATGGAATCCAGAGGGTGGAGAGCCATGAATATTTAATCAATGCCAATAATGGCATGCTTTCCTGTAAAGATGAGGCGAGGAACCTAAATAGAGCCTTTAAAACTGTGTAGGAAACTGAATACTTACAAATGGAAAAGTAGGAGTTTAACTTCACAAAAGCCCCAAAGAAGCAAGAACATAATATGTACAGTTTTTAAGAAGGTATTGGGATCTGCCCTCCCCCATCTTCAACAAGCTTCTTGATATAGTGGAAAGAATGTGGGCTGAGAACTTAAACACATCTAAATTCAAAATCTTGCTTAAGAAATTACTTACTGGCTTTGTTTCATTTGGCAAATTACTTACCTTCTATGATTAGAAATTGTAGATAATGAAATTTAACTTTTCAGGCCTGTTGTGAAGATGAAACAGGATCATACTTCTGAACACCAGTGAAACAGCACATGGAGTGAACTCAATATTGGTTCTTTCTTATTGTAATGCATAATGCTAATGCAATTCATTTTATCCAGCCCGTATTTGGAATTCCCTTAGATACTTTTGCATAGTTATGTGTTGCTTAATGACAGGGATATGTTCTGAGAAATTTGTCTTTAGGAGATTTCATCACTGTCTGAATATCATAGAGTGTACTTACACAAACTTAGGTGGTATAGCCTACTACACACCTATGCTATATGGTACAGCCTCTTGCTCTTAGACTGCAAACCTGTACATCATGTTACTGTACTGAGTAAGAAAGCAATTTTTAACACAGTGGCAAGTATTTGAATCTCTAAACATATCTATACACAGAAAAGTTGCAGTAAAAATATAGTATAAAAGATTTTTAAGAACGGTACACCTTTATTTGGCACTTACTATGAATGGAGCTTACGGAACTGGAAGTTTCTCTGGGTGAGTCAGTGAGTAAGTGGTGAATGAATGTGAAGGTATAGGACATTACTGTACACTTCCGTAGACTTTATAAACACTGTATATTTAGACTATGCTAAATTTATTTTTAAAATCGTATTGCTCCTTCAATATTAAATTAACCTTAACTTACTGTAACGTTTTTTACTTTAAAAACTTCAATTTGTAACTTTTTGACTCTTTTGTAATAACACTTAGCTTAAAACACAACACGTTATACAGCTGTACAAAAATATTTTCTTTATATTCTTACTCTGCAAGGTTTTTTTTCTATTTTTGTACCTTTTTTTTTTTTTTTTTTTTTTTTTTTTTTTTTGAGACAGACTGTCACCCAGGCTGGAATGCAGTGGCTTGATCTCAGATCACTGCAAGCTCCACCTCCCGGGTTCAGGCCATTCACCCGCCACCACACCCGGCTTAATTTTTTGTATTTTCAGTAGAGTTGGGGTTTCACCGTGTTAGCCAGAACGATCTCCATCTTGACCTCGTGATGCGCCCGCCTCGGCCTCCCAAAGTACTGAGTATTTTTGTACTTTTTAAGAACTTTTTAAATGTTTTGTTAAAAACTAGGACACAATTACATTAGCACAGACCTACACAGGCGCAGGATTATCAGTATTACTGTTTTCCGTATCCACATCTTTTCCTACTGAATGTTCTTCATTCTGTCTGCAGAGACAGTAACACCCGTGGAACTTTCATCTCCTATCATACCAATGCCGCCTTCTTGAATACCTCTTGAAAGAGCCTGCTTCAAGCTGTTTAACAATTAGCTTTCTTTTGTAAGTAGAAAGAGTACACTCAAAAATACTGATTAAAAGTATAGTAAATATATAAACCAGTAACATCGTTGTTTATTATCATGATCAAGTGTTATATACTGTACATAATTGTATGTGCTATATTTTTGCAGGACTGGCAGCACACCAGCATCCTCACAAACACCTGAGTAATGCATTAGGCAAGGACATTACAATGGCTTTGCATTACTAGGCGACAGGAATTTTTCAACTCCCTTATAATCTTTTTGTTTTTTCCTTTCCAACTTTTATTTTAGGTTCAAGGGGTCCATGTGCAGGTTTGTTACATGGGTAAGTTGTGTGCTTTAGGGGTCTGGTGTACAGATAATTTTGTCATGCAGGTAATCAGCATAATACTCAATAGTCCCCTCCTTCTACCCTCCACCCTCAAGCAAGCCCCGGTGTCCACTGTTTCCTTCTTCGTGTTTGTATGTGCTCAATGTTTAGCTCCCACTTTGCAGGGAGAACATGTGGTATTTGTTTTTCTGTTTCTATGTTAATTCACTTAGGATAATGGTCTCCAGCTGCATCCATGTGGCTGCAAAGGACATGATTTGTTTTTTTTTGTTTCTTTTATTGGCTGCACAATATTCCATACTACATGTGTGCTACGTTTTCTTTATCTAGTCCACTGTTGATGGGCATCTAGGTTGGTTTCATGTCTTTGATGTTATGAATAGTGCTGTGATGAATATGCATGTGCAAGTGTCTCTATGGTAGAACAGTTTCTATTCCTTTGGGTATGTAACCAGTAATGAGATTGCTGGGTTGAATGGTAGTTCCGTTTGAAGTTCTTTGAGAAATCTCCAGACTGCTTTCCACAGTGACCACGGCAATCAGACAAGAGAAAGAAAGAAAAGGGATCTAAATAGAAAGAGAGGAAATTAAACTACTTCTCTTTGAATACTATATGATTCCATACCTAGAAAACCCCATAGTCTCT